AGGCTGCAGGGGAGCTGGGAGGAGGGCCTCAGGAGGGCCAGTGCAGCAGCTCGCTGCAGGAACGCCCCTCATGGCTGGAAATTCACCCAGAAAGGCCAACCCGGCCCCAAGAATCCCCGTGGATTTTCCCTTCTTTGCCATGAACTTTCCGTTGTGCTTTTCAACATCAGCGCATGGTTGAGGGAAAATCGTGAACAGGATGGGGTGGGGAGTGAGAACACGCAGCCGCAGCCACTGACATCAGGAGGCGCCCGGCCATCCTGGTTGTGGTCCCAGCCCTTCTTTCTCCCTGGAGCACAGCCTCGCCTTCCGCCTGGCAACAGCTGTCCCCCGTGACAGGCAGCCATATTGTTCTCTGCACAGCCAGCTGGCTTCCTGCCGGTGGCAGCTGCTGCTGCTCAGCTCTGCGGCCCCACAAAGGCAGGGGGCCCCCACCTCCGCGCCCAGCCCAGCCCAGCCCAGCCTGGGCGGTGTCTTGGCGGGTCCAGGCGGTAGACAGCGCCACCTGCTGGTGGGAAGGAACACTGCAGGGTGACCGCAGCTGAGCTCTGCACCTGGGCTAACGACCTGCGAAGGCGGTGGGGGCGCAGCCAGAGGAAGTGGCAGAGGTCCCAGCTCAACGCTGTGCCTCCCGCAGGTCTGAGCTAGCGGCCTTGATCATGCCCTCTCTGTCATGGGAGCGGAATGTCGCTTAGTAACAAAGTCAGCCATCCCCAATCAGCGCCCAAGGGCAGAGGTGTGACTGAAATCTCTCATGGCTACCAGCGGGCCCTCCCCAGTCATCCTCATCTAAGCCACCCTTGGGGCGGTCCCGAAGCCACCAGGACTCCACCCTTGGCATGAGCGCTCCTGTGCACGGTCCCCGTTTGTAATGCCTCTGCGTGAGCAGATGTTCAAGTCCAGACACTTCATGGAAACGTGAAGTTACGCAGCGCCTAACCGAAGGCCCCGTGGGCAGCAGAGTGTCAGGACGGGGCAGAGCCAGGAGCATGCAGTTTCCTGAGCGCAGCCGTCTGCCGAGCAGTAAAAGAAGCAGGCAGGGACGCCAGCGGGCGGCGTGCTGGTTAGTGCAGCTGGATCGCACGCACATGACTGACCGCACAGTTCAAGTCCTGGACCCGGAAGCCTGAAGCAGTGCCAGCTGCATGTGTGTGTGTGCCCCAAGTCCCGAGAGGAGAAAGGGATCGCGGCCTGGCCATCTCCTCTGGGAGTTGACTTCTCACTTCTCTCTCTGTCTCTGTGTTTCTCTCTGACAAGCGCACACACCCTATAGCAAACAAACAAAAACAGAAGAGAACAGGGCCAGCAGGTGGCATGGTGGGTAAGGCGCCGGACTCCCACATGGCTGGCCATGGTTCTAGTCCTGGATCTGGTGACTTGCTTTCTCACTTGCCCTTCCTCCCTCTCTCTCTCTCCCCTTTTCTGTCTCTCTCTCTCGTAAGTGTGCATGCCTTGTAGCAACTTAAATAATAAGGTGTAATGGTTATGTTGCTGGACTCCCATGTAGTCTACTGCAGTTCAAGTCCCATACCCAGTGGCTTAAAACTCACACTTGGGGCCAATTGACCATGGTTCAAGTCCCAGACCCCATGGCTTAAACTCATGCTGGGTGTGTGAGCGTGCGTGCCCAAGATCCCGAGAGGAGAATGGAGGAGAAGGGATTGTGGCGTGGCCATCCCCCCTGGGGGGTGATTTCTCGCTTTCTGTCTCTGTCTCTGGCGAGTACACATGCCCTATAGCAAAAACCTCTCAAAAAACAAACACAAAAAACTCACACTTGACGTGTGTGTGTGCATGCCCAAAATCCCAAGAGGAGAACGGAGGAGACGGCCATCCCATGCTGCATGACCATCCCCCCGGGGGGTGATCTCTCCCTTTCTGTCTCTCCATCAAGTACATGTGCCCTATAACAAAAAGTCTCTCTCAAAAAAGAAAAAAAAAAAAAGATAAATAAAATTAAATAAATAATTCTTAAAACATGTACACGAGAGAGTAGGGGAGGCAGCATGCGGGGACTGGCCGAGTGGGGGATCTGCTGGGCCTAACGCAGACCTGCCTTCCTGAGCTGGGCCTTCCCACAGCCGTTCTCGGACCTTCTGCCCCCACATCCTTTGACCTGGTCATGCCAGTCCCCATTGTTTTCTTTCTTTCTTTTTAAGAATTATGTTGTTTATTTATTTATTTATGTATTTGACCAGAGAGCAAGAGAGGGAAAGTGAGAAAGCAAGCCACCAGGTCCAGGACTCAAACCACAGTCGGCCATGTGGGAGTCCAGCGCCTTAACCACCATGCCACCTGCTGCCGCCCTTCCCCCCACCCATTGTTTTCAAGTGCTTGAATGGCCCCTGTCCCAAGTGTGGTCCCACCCCTTGCCTCAATGCAGGGGCTCCCCATGGCCTTCTTTCCCCTCACAGC